GGTCATGGCGGTTCCTAAGTTCATGCAATCCATCAAGCTACGCAAAAGCCTGGCCTTGTCAGTTCCAAGTCGGTCTTACTATATTCTGGTCCGAAGCAAACCAAAGGCCCATAGACCCCACCTTCACTGCGGAGCCTGGTACTTCGACAGTTTGTCTCTATAAGTAGCAGCGGTGCCACCAATTCGTGGGACACAAAATGGGTATCGTCAGTCACGGATGCATACGGCCTCTGGTGTTACAAAGCCGTCCTCTCTCAGTTTGCTGGCTACTTTGCAGGTCGACATCTCAGATGACCCAAAGTATCTCACAGTCACCGTCAATGGTTAACCAGTCCGTCTGCAGTTGGACAATGCGTCGGACATTTCCATAATTTCGGAGAAGCTTTGGAACACGTTCAGGTAACCTCCAATCAGACAAGCCGCTCGAACTGTTACCAGTGCCTGCGGTGGAGAGCTAAAACTTTACGATGAGCTCCAATGCTGTGTACCTTTTCGGGGAATTACATTCGTGGAGTCGTGTTATGTAAGGGCAGTCGAGCTGAACTTATTGGGTCTTGATTGGTTTGATCACTTGGGGTTTGCCGACATTCCAATAAGTGTGATTTACAATACGGTTTAGTTTCCCACGGCGCATCCAGATCATCCATCCGACTTGATCAAGCAATTTTTAATAAAGTCCCGGTCAGTGCACAGCGACACAAGCAGTCCTCTACCTCCTGCCAGGTGCTACGCCAGTTTTCCGTACAAAGAGACCAGTCACGTACGCTTCCCTTCCACTGGTACTTCAAAGAACTTTAACGGCTGGGACAACAAAACGTTCTGCCTCATGTATCTTACTCCACCTGGGCAGCTCCAACTGTCGTGGTGAGGAAACCTAAATGCCAAAATGCAGCTATCCAGCAGCACCACTATTCACTACCAGTGCCCGACGATCGGTGGAAAGTTCTTCACAAAAATCGATCTTGCTAAAACGTATCTTCAAGTTGAAGTCGACCACTGTTAACAATCACACCACACGTCTCCCGCTTGGCGTCAAGATTACCCCAGCAATTTTGCAGCAGTTGATAGACACCATCCTTTCTTGCATTCCAGGTGTGGTCGCATACCTGGACGTGGTGATCATTGCTGTTTCACCCGACGAGCTTCTTGTTCGGGTCAATGCCATCTTGCTGCGCATTCAAGACGGCTTTCAAATAAGTCATGGTTGTACGGCAGTGAAGCATTGGTGTTGAACACTGATGTCATGCTGTCGATGATGATGATGATGTTCCTTTTGAGGTATTAATCAGCTATTATTATTCGGCACGTTTGCCATCGCTATAGGCATTCGACTCCCACTAAATCAATTACTTGGAAAGGACGTCCCCTGGCGTTGGTCAGAACAATTTGTGTAGGCATTCTACAAACTAAAGGCGATGCTCAGTTCCCAGCTGCTACTGAGTCAAAGCTACCGATAGTTGTGGCACCTGATGCCTCTACTTTTGGAGTCGGTGCCGTCATTCTGCGCGTTTTCCCAGACGGATCGGAGGCCATCATGCAAGCGTCGAAAGCGCTAACGCCAGCACAACAGCGATATGGGCAGACAGAGAAAGAAGCGTTGGTTTTAGTTTTCGCCGTCCGGTGTTTCCACAAGTTGTTGTACGATCACCGCTTCACCCTACTTACTGAACATAAACACTTACTGTCTATTTTCGGCTCAAAGAAAGCTGCTCCCGCACATTCTGCCAACCGCCTGTAAAGATGATTACTTGTTATGCTGGGCTACGAGTTTGATATTCAATACTGCCACACCACCGACTTCGGTCAGGCCGATGCATTGTCACCTGATCAGCAATCAGCTAACTCACGGAGAAGACGAGGCTGTTCCGCAGGTTGCATTCGAGGACCCAGCCGGCCCCCAGTTAGTCCAGTCTGTTCGTGCACTGCCTGTGAGTGACAGAAGTTTAAAAGGCTACTATGGCTGATCCGACGCTTCAAAATTCGACCCAGTTCATGAATTCTCGATGGCCTCCGAACCTCAAAGACGATTGCTTTCGACAGCTCCTTCATCGCCGAGATGCATTGTCAGTCGTAAACAATTGCTTAATGTTTGGATATCGCGTCGTGATTCATCAATTTTTACGCAACCGTCAGTTCCATTCTGGGCATCCAGGAATAAACCGCATGAAGTCAATAGCTCGCAGTTACGCTTACTGACCGCACATGGGTCAGCACATCAATGATTTTGTAAAACGCTGCTCCCGATGCCAACAAGTTGCCAAGACCCCGCCACACCAACCACCGGTCCCCTAGCCTCGACCCGAGAAGCCTTGATCCCGGGTTCATATTGATTACGCAGGACCGGTACATGGCACTTCCAATTTTTGACTGACGCTTTCTCGAAGTATCCAGAAATCAATCCGGTGTCCTCTACAACGTCTAGGACGCTGTGTGTGTTATCCAACGTTTTCAGCCAGCATGGTTTACCGGAGTCCATCGTCTCAGGCAATGGTTCGTAGTTCCACTTTGCTGAGTTTCACGAGTCTTGAACTCGACGTTTGTTCACCAGCAAACCACCCGCAATCGAATGGTCAAACAGAAAGATTCGCCGACACATTCAATAGAGCCTTCCTTAAAGCTCGAGGGGAGGAACCTCCTTCGAAGCCCTTCAGAGACTCCTGTTTATGTACCAAACGACCCCGAACGATGCTTTGACGAACTACCAGTCGCCTGCAGAGGCACTCATGGGCCGTAAGCTGAGAACTGTGCATTCTTCCATGTTGCCAGCAGTATACTGAGTCAAGGTTCACGCCGGTGGCAACTGGAGCTCCATTCAAGGTGGGAACGTCCGTACTTGACGTGATTATCGCCCGGGACACGATGCCTGGTTTACAGGTCGTATCCCGCACAAACGCCGTAGTCTGATGTACGACGTGTCGGTTGGTCTAGATATCTGCACTATACATCAGGGACAAATCCGCTTTAACAGCACGCCGTACCGTTCGACATATAGCTAGAAAGCTAGTGCAGTTTCGGAAGACAGTGTGACCGGCAGCTCCGTACTTGATCCAGCACATCTTTCCAGGCGGTGAACAGACCGACACCGAAGCCAGCCGGAACGTATCCAGGTCGACCCAGGTCGAGCGTTACTGAGTTTTCACACAGAGAAATGTTGGGGATATCAATATCCCCAAAACTCTGCATCTTTGCCTGTGTGTGCTAAAGAACTTCCGGCATTTTTCAAATCGATCACATTGCCATCAGTTACCGATGGCGCGGATCAGTAACTGACACTCGGTGGTTTTGGAACACATTTGTGGATTCCGACCACACAATCATCCAGAGTCGCTACTCCCATCGTTTTCCAGGACCGCGTAAGGTGCGGAAAAATCGCCTCGCAACTGAAAGATTGTTATATCCAGATGTTAGACGAATTTGCCAGGATTTTTTAGTCTCCCCCACCATTGGATGCGAATTCATACTGGGACAAGATAGCTACGTCTTTGTACAGTGCTGAAAGTCTTGTTTGTGTCACGGTGCTACCACACTCAAGCACTGGACATCAGACCAAACAGTGGCATTGCTTAAATCTCATAAAAATATCTCAGCCGGTCCCGAAAATAATTTGGCCGGATGAATTATCAAACCTAGAATGCGAGCCGATCGTAGAATATCGTAAACACGAGAAGCCGAGGAAATGGAAGAGGCCCAGAAAGTCGATGGTGCTCGAAGGTTATTTCAGTTTATCCACGCGACCGGTCTTCAGAAACCTCCTGAGTGAAGCAACTACGGATCAAAGGGGAGCGACCATCCTGAATTGAGAACGCCTCGACTGTTAAGCCGAATACTTCGAACGGTTTTCGTGGCCAACAGCTGCCGCCCATCTGGAGGCTAGAGTTGACGTAGAACCATGGACGGTGAAGGTGAAGCACCCCACGGCCTCGGGGGTTACTGACTGTATATGTTCTCTCAAGCGCCTACGAGCTTCTAGTCCGGATGGTCTACCACCCGCAGTGTTCAAAATCGCGGTGAAATCGTCAGTCAACACTTGTCTGATTTCTTCGCCTGCACTTGGGAAGAGGAAACTGTACCAGGCAAGTCGGGGGAGTCGTTGATATTGCCCATGTGCGAAAAAGCAGGCTTGTAGTGAGTGTGGCAACTACAGGGAATAAACAAAACTGCTGCCATAACTTGAGCTTCACCACCTTGTGGTGGTTCGTGAAACTCGGACTCGAGAGCAACAAGCGGGATTCAGACCACGTAGGGGTTGCGTTGACTAAACCTTCACACTCCGTTAAGTGCTAGAACAGCGTCATACATATAAGCGACCCACAATAATAGTATTGCTGGATTCCGGTCTGTTCTTGAAACGCTTACCGAGGAACACCCCGGAATTTCATGAACAGACGATGATGCAGATGAACGATTATCATTATTATTATTACGGAGACTACCTATTTCTGTACGACGGGAAGTGCGACGAACGGCTCCAAGCGACCAGGCAACTTAGTGTCCAGATGAATCAACCTGGCATCAAAATAAGCGGCTGGAGAAAGTTGCCAACATGGTGATGTCAGGCAGTGACCGTGCTGTGTACGCTGTGCTCTTTTCAATCAGCCCCATTCCCCTTATTCTTTTTCGTTCCGTTTTCTTCCGTACCCCTCCTGTCTTACAACGTGAGGACGATTTGCGGAGGTCCGAACCTCCGTACAAGATTGCCGAGCTGAAATAAACTGATGGGACAGCACCACTAGGTGGTTCACTAAAACCATATTTAGCCCTTTTTCGCTTTCTGTTCTTCAGCACGATCAATATGTCTTCGTCCCTTTGATTAAGATAAGCTTGGCGGTAAGAAGTGGGATTCCAATTGAATTTAATTTTTTCGCAATTCATTTGGATCATGCATGCTTGAGTTGCAGCCGTCCACACAGTGATTAAGTGCCTACTAGGCAAAATTCGCGCTCTAACCACTTGAACCACCTCGTCCGTACTTCAAATCAATTCAACAGTGATCATTAGACATGAAGTTCAAAATGGCAGAAGAGAGCCAACACGAAACCCCAGCGCTTGCGGCACTGAACACTAGTGTTCGTCTCTCGTTTATAAGCGAGACGGGATCGGGAGTAGTAATGAGACCATCTGAGGACGATCCGACTTCATACGGTCCAAGCAGGCTGTTCGAGTCCCTATTTACGTCAACGGCTGCGCCACAACATACACGAGATTTGATCGCATTATGGTGACCGACTCATGCAGCGGGAAAAAGACCGCGGTGGCAGAACTCGACAAAATTTGGGGCAAACGCGCAAATAACCGTTCCGCCGATTCAAACAACTGAGATCGTCCGAGGTTTCCAGGATTTCTCGCTGATCCATAAACGTGGTCTGTCGCTGGTGCTCCTACCATGGAAGTATATGAGGTCGGAAAAATTGCATATTCGGTCTGTTCCTACCTTGCACGCCAGTGCAGGATGGTGTGCCGGTGGCTTTTGTCTCCTTCAGCCAGGTCTCCTCATATATTGGGTGTTGGATCCCTAAATTATCCCCACAAACTATGTATATATCTGAGTACACCAGTAATACTGATCCACCTTGTTTGTTTGACTGCCCAAGTCGTCAAGGTATTGGTTAGTGGACATGGAAGTCGGAGTATTGTTTATGTGCGATAGTTTACGGCAACCCTTCGAACCACACCACAACTTTATTTGAAACCGAAGTTTGAATGGAAGTAACTTTCACACAGATTCTTCACGTCCACCCAGAAAGCCGCGCGTTTGCGAAAATCGGTTTATGCGCACCCAGGGTTCACTGTGGGAACGGAATTAATATTTTTAATTTTTGTCATGTTTCGCCACGATGTTTCAGTGAAGGCAGTGGGAGGAGGTGTGACTCTTTATATGTTTTCTCCTCTACAATATCTGGAAATTTTTTAAAGGTGTACATGAATATGTTGTCTTTGTCCGCGCATACCCAGACTGGAGCAGATATTCGCGACTTACGAGTAGACCATGTCAAGGAACTGGACGAAGTTAATCATTGTGGTGCATTCACTCATGATGGTCAGCGCAGGCTGTATCAGGTGTGCGATTATGTTTTATCTGCACCGTTATAGGGAGCCTTGGTAACGTGATGGGGAAAATCGGGTTTGTGAACAGCACAAGCAGACGGAAAAATAAGGTGGCCAAAACGTTGAAATTTTTGCAGGCCAGTGAATCGATACGGCACCTTGGGTGCATGCACAACGCTCGGTCTAGAAATGGGAGAACTGTTGAATTACTCCCAAGACATCACACTGGGTATGCCAGTTGCTCTAATGTTAGTGCACCGTCGTACTTCGGTCGGTGCACAGCCCCGTACTGGAACGTTATGGGTGGGTCAGTTGGGGTTGTCAGAGCTGTTAAAATTGCCATAGTAAGTGTGGTAAAATTAGACCGGCGCGGTCTCACTAGAGTGAAGTATATAGGATTCTAGTCTGGTATGGTGTGCGTTGATCAAATCTTCACACCCCGTCAGGTGTTGGAACTTTGTATTTACGAAAGACCTGCAATTTGACTGTTTTTGAGTTCCAAATTCGCATTTGACTCAGCTGACCGGTTCCTTCGATAACTAGAACTTCGTGAACACAATAAGTTCTTTATCCGGATGCGTGTGAAGAAAGTCGTTCCATCGCGATGTTGATAATTCACCCACGGATATCTCCTGGATAGATGCGCAAACCTAAGGATGGGTATGAAAGCCAGAGATGCAAACTCATAATCAATAGTAAAAAACAGCATCAAGCCTTCCCCGATCATTATGCTACACACAAGGCGAAATTCCCAGATATCTTTTACGCTGAAGTTCGGTTAACAAACCATCTTGTTTGTTACTTCTGAGGAGTATGTCGCGTACAAACAGCTAGGTAGAATTTGGATCGGATATTTCGTAGACGTCATCTGCAGTTCGGATAACAACTCAGAACGTTAAAATATGCCACGACTTGATTTCGTGCTTGATTTGTAAACCTATAAGTACATATGCGTTAAGGCGGTCGGTGACTTGAAATTTCGCTCACCTGCAAAAAATTGTGTGAGCAACACATCATTGAAACGCAAAAATTCACCAGTCCGAAAACTCCATAGTTTTACTAAATCGGTGGGCGGTATAACTTACGGTTAAATGTGAACGGAATCAATAAAAAATCCTGAGGAATTCAACATATCGGCATTCAAACGAAAATGCCCAGTTGTCTTGGGTTCCGGGAGGTGCGAAATGAAACAAGTTTCAAAATGCGCTGTCGCCAAACTGAATGGAATATATCCACCGTTTATCGCATGCAAAATGGCACTAGTTATGCAAACGTTGGTATGGTGAATAAGTGCATCCTATTTTGGGACTTTGATTGACACTATTTGTTGTTTATTTAGAGCATAAGCAAGCCATAACAAGCCAAATGCGCTCCTCAGTCATTTTTCGTGGTGAACAAAGAGGAACCACCCACAGGAATTGCAAACTCAGGTAATTTTAGCACGAAATTGAACATTTTTTAAAACCTAGATAACTAGCTTTTGGCGGAGTTGGGAAAGCACCTGTAGGTTTCGAGGCAAATCATTCCTGAAACTGTAGCTAATTAGTTGTCTGCATGTCACATCAGTTGACTATATACGAAAGTTTGCGGTACATATTGCTTTTTGAAGGCACTGTGCGAGCGGCATTAAATTCTCTTGAGGCAGTTTCGTAGAGCTATTAAGAATCGTAAGCACTGTTGCTGGCCTCTGGCAACTCGCAAAATAATACTTGTAAGCTACAGTACATACGTTGATGCCCGGCCCGCGGATCATAACTCGCTGCCAGTGGACACTCTCCGTTGCGAACAATCATGTGGTTCCTTCAGGAGATTATTACCCTGTTTGTTGACCCCAAACCTGCGAATGCTAGACGCTTTCTCACCCGGAAGCCACAGTAAGTCCCACGCACTACCAGAACCCGATGTGGTTCCTTCAGGAGATTATTACCCTGCTTGTTGACCCCAAATCTGCGAATGCTAGATGCTTTCTCACCCGGATGTCACACTAAGTTCCACGCACTACCAGAAGCCAGCCAAACATCAATATAGTGGGGCCACATATAAAGTTCAAATGTTTCTAACAAACCGGTCGGTTGCAAGAATCTGAACCATGCTATTGTGTGGCGGTTTGAAAACGCCGCGACCTAGCAGAATTTACTGCAATGTGCCAATGTCGTGTCCACAAATTTTTCACACCAATTTGATCGCTGTACATATAATGTACGATGTATAAATGCGTCGTACATATATTACATTATATTATAAATACAGTTGAGTTTTGGGGCAGGGGTGACGGTCTCCTTTCTCACCAATCTTACGCTAATCATCGCTGCCCTGAGGTCGGGCTTTTGGACAAAGTACTTTTGGCTGAAGACTGCAATAAGTCTTTCGTCTAGGGTTCAGTACGCTGGCGTTGCAAGCTTACAAGCAACTGTAAAGTAGAACTGTCCTATTAAAGCCAGTATAACTTTTCCTTAAACCCTCCAGAACACCGAATGCAATATGCGAGTGAGTGGATTCGGTCGGTCTTTCCCAACATTAGGTACACAACCTTGGCCTTGCGCGCCGCATTATTTACATCGAGGCCAGAAATATATTGTACGTGTCACTTTTGGTGTCTGCAACCATTTACACGAAAACTGTGGCAATTTGATAAACCACCCCCGGTGAGTATCCTGCGCCATAATGTGAAGTCCCGACAACCATGCAATGAAATGACGCCGCCAGATTTCTAAAGCGGTAATCGATATTCAAATGCGGTCGATGTGAACGGGTGTGGCATAACTGATTATGAAGGTTTTGCACTCGGTTAATTGTGCTCAACTAAAGTGTCCGGGAGGTTGCACGGACATCAATTCAAAGACGAGATCAATAATGCTGTGTTTTTGTAGGATTAGGTGAAACCAGGATGCCGCCATCAAAGCCCAAAGAAAAGTGTGCAGCTTCGCCAAAACGAGTTGCCTCTGAGGCGTCATACCGCGTGTATTTATTGTGTATTTGTTAGCGTTTTCGCCCTGCTAACAATGGATTTTCCTATACATGGGTGGATTGTCTGGGATGTATGCTACCAACAGGGCAAGGTCAGGTCGGAAGCACAGGCCTTCGACAAAAGCTGTTTTCATTATAGTTTTAGCTTTTTACTTGATTGCAGACGGCGGTTTAAGAGGTTCAGCCTACGAAAAAATCTATGGAAAGAAGGCGTGCAGTTGAAGTGATAGTTATCAACCGTTTATTCTTCTGCATTGTAGTGTAAAAATGGTGCGGGAGGGAGCGGACAAAGTATGGAAGCATACAGAAAGTTCTTCAAAGGCTTCAGTGTACAGGTAATCCCAGTCATGGTTATCCAAACTTTCCATTCCCAGCAGCTACGATAAGTGTCCAAGTTGGGTGGAAGCGCCTGCTGTCATCAAATGACAGGCAGTGGTTGGCCTCGTTTCCACTAGTAAATTTGGGGTAATGACGTATCTTAACTATGAGGACATTATTGTGTTGCCACTAAACATGCGGTCATTTCGTAGCATTGCATTATCTGCCGAATAGCTGTGCAGCGAAGGGAAGGGATATCATCCACAGAGGTGTATGCTATAATCAATACTGCACACTTCCTCAAATTCTCTTTTCACACCACTGAACAGGAGGTTTGCTTCGCAAAAATAGTGCTCTGTTGAAGATTACTGAACACGTTCAATTAATTTTTTACGTTTGGGGAATTCCACGCATTCAAAACTCATTCTAGTATTTTTACGGGTGGAATTTGCGATGGATATTCTGTGGATGACATCTAATTTAAAAAGAACACAGTGCCATTTCATGGTTTGTCTTATATAAACCGCTAAAGAACGCGATTGGGTGATGGTTCGTGACCTTGGAATTACGCTCACTTAAAAAATGTCGTAAGTAACATATCGCCGAATAATGTAAGCGGATAAGACTGAATTGCCGTAAAAGTCGCAACTTCGAAAAGCCTATAATTTAATGAAAATAGTTTGGGTGTAATTCTGATGAGCGCCGTGCTATGGCTTCATAAGCTATTTTGATAAAAAATTGTGGGCTGTAGCCTTTTCATCCTTTACGGTGTTTGAGAAGGCGGTAAGTGAATGCGTGGAAGATAACTACTTGATACTTGTGCATTCATCCAGTAATCGGAGCAACAACGCTGTTTCGCGTTAAGAACGGGTGTACCACAAATACAGCGGGC